AAAACAAGGTATAGATTATGATGCCATGCGCCTTTGCACACACCCAGTCAAAGACATTGTGAGATTAAACTGACTTATTCTGCATCTGTATCTACAGATAGCTATGAAAAAGAGAGAGTGGCGTAAACGCAAAAGAGACATGGATGAACTTCTACGTTATTCTGACAGCGAAGATGAACATCAGAGCATTGGCATTACTAGCGATGTTGGGTCTGGGATACAGAGTAGTAGTAGCAGTAGCAGTGTGTCTGAGGCCCCACACAGTTCAGCAAATGACAGCGTTCCTGAGTCATCACGTGTTTTTGATTTTGACACAGATGTGGACTATTTTTCTACTGACTCTGAAAATGAATCAAATAATGAAGCTGAAGTGATCAGCAGCTTTGAAGATGACCTGAGAAAGTGGGCTACAGAGCACAAAGTGACACACAGAGCACTTAACGGGTTATTGTCCACGTTAAGGAAGCAAGGGCACCTATTGCCTAAGGATTGTCGGACACCCTTGCTACACCACAACAAGATGCAACAGAGACAAAATGTGGAGGGCACTACAAATATTTTGGCTTAGAAAAGGGAATCTGTCGTTACTTAAGTCTGATGGACAGTAGTGATGTGCACCTCACTGTAAACATTGATGGCATCCCACTTTTCAAAAGTAGTGGAGTCCAATTCTGGCCAATACTGGTTAAGTGTGACTATTTTGATCCCTTCATTGCAGCCATATTTAGTGGTAATAGTAAGCCAAGTCCACTTGAGGATTATCTGAAAGACTTTTTGACCGAGTACAAGCATCTCAAAGACAATGGTATAGTTTACAAAGGCCAGACCTACACTGTCAATATTGATGCTTTCATCTGTGATGCACCAGCAAGGGCATACCTCAAAGGTGTTAAGGGTCATACTTCCTATGAGAGTTGTGAAAGATGCGTAATCAGAGGTACTCGTGTGGAGGGAAGAATGGTATTCAGTGAGCATGAATGCACTTCACGGACAGATGACAGTTTTTCAAGATCTGAGTACAAGAACCACCAAACTGATGTCAGCCCCCTCATTGCTGCAGAAATTCCTTGCGTCAGTTCATTTGTCCTAGATTACATGCACATGGTCTGCTTGGGAGTAGTTAGACGCCTTTTAATCTACATGACCCGAGGCCCAAAAATCTGCCGTCTATCTGTGAGGCAAAAAGGGGAAATTTCACAAAAACTAATTGCACTAAGGGGGAGGATGCCTAGTGAGTTTGCTCGGCAACCACGTGGTCTTCACGAATTGGA